TAGTTGGAAATGAACAATGTAAAGATTTAAATACTTCAGACTTAGATGGCTGCAAAGATTGTAGATATTTTTGTCGAATTGGTTGCTTATCTTGTGATTATTCTATCAATAAATGTTTAAATTGTGAATAAAGAGGATATGCTCCTGAAAAATATTATTAGATGGATTATATTAAATGGTTTTTATAGAATATTGTCATGAAAGTGATTCTTCAGCTTGTGTTACGGATATTATTAATAATCGAATTAAAAATGTGAAGTGGAGATAAAATTATGTAATTGATGAAGTATGTGAATCAGGAAATATCTTACCTAAAAGAGGATGTCAGAATTGTTTAGCAAGATATTATGAATCTTGCACAACTTGTGATATGTGATGATGATAATCTTATTTATGATAGTTACTTGTATTAGTTGTATCAAAGAAGTATGTTATTTGTTATAAGACGAGCAAGATTATGCCTTAGGGAAATATCTATCAATTATAGGATTAAATATGAACATAACACAAAATATATGCAATTCTAAACATATTACCTTTGCTTAGAAGGACATGGATTAACTACAAATAAGCAAGAGTCAAGACAATTAAGAATATGCTTATTATGATATAAATGAAAATAGATTTAAACTACCCTCCTATTATTTTAAATAAAAATAAAAATGTGTTTAAGGATATTATTTGAATAATAGCTCTAAATTTATATCCTAATTTGGTGATCAAATTCTTTTTAATGATGAAGAATGTGAAGCAAATAATGAAAATTGCATCAATTGTTATTTAAAAAATCTTTGTCTTGAATATGAAGTTGGATATTATATATGACATACTAAAAAAATCATGTGAAATCAATCTAGAATAAAATTAATTTAATCAAAAATGTTAAAAAATGTTACTTGAATAATGTCAAAGAATATAAAGAGATTAATGAAGAATATACAATTTTTTAATTTTAAAATGATTTGGATTTAATAAAAAATGTGTGCAATCAATATTGTGAATTGTGTAAAAATAAATAATGTATTCATGTAAGTATGAGTATTAAGGAAAAAATTGCTAACTTAAACAATGTAATTTTAAAAATTTCAAAATTAAAATAATATTATTCTATAATAGATATTTATTTTGAAGATCAATCATGCGATTCAGATTGTTAAGTTTGTTTTTCAGGATAATGTATTTTTTGTAAGAAAGGAAGCTACTTATTTAAACATGAATGCATATAGGAAATTCATCTTGAATATACTAGAATTGAATAAGCGATATAATAAATGAAGATTCATAAACTTGATAACCTTATTGTGAAGATGGTAAAGTAATCCCTCTTACTTAATTACTTAAGAAGAATGCGATGATAGGAATTAAGATCCAAAAGTTGGATTTGATTAATGCAAATTTGCATGTCTACCTCATTTCTTAACTTGTCATAGTTTATTTTGAAAATAATAATCAATTTACTATAACATACTGTTTTCAATGTGAAATAGGTTTGAAAATCAAGAGGAAATATGTGTTCCAATTTGTGGAGATGGTATTTTAATATAAGAATGAGATGATGTGAATTTAATTTATTATGGTGGTTGTTTTGATTGTAAATATCAATGCAGTCAAGATTGTTTAGTTTGTTAAAAAGGAATATCTCTAAAAAACTGTTCAAAAAATATGATTGTTTTCGAGAATTAATGTAAGTCAATATGCGCATAAATGATGGTTGATTATGAAATAGAATGTGATGATAATAATAATATAGAATATCATGGATGTTTTAATTGTAAATTTAATGTGCACTTTGTTGTTAAGTATCTTATTGTGAAAAAGGTATTGGTCATAAATTCATTTCAGAATCTATCTAATAAAACTAATAATCTTTAATTCATGATTTTGAAGGTACTCTAAAAAATATGTTAAATAAATAAAAAAATAGTTGGATTTGTAATGAATCAGAATGTAAATATTCGGAAAGTCCTTAGTTAATAATCAATAATCTAGAATTAAAAAATTTTTAATTTTAAGTTTTTAATTAAGTTATGTCCTTTCATTTACAATATTTAGTTGAAATTGAATTTTCTGAATAAATTTTATTTCGCAAATTCTAANAAAAATTGCTAACTTAAACAATGTAATTTTAAAAATTTCAAAATTAAAATAATATTATTCTACAATAGATATTTATTTTGAAGATCAATCATGCGATTCAGATTGTTAAGTTTGTTTTTAAGGATAATGTATTTTTGTCAGAAAGGAAGCTATTTATTTAAAAATGAATGAATAAAGGAAAATCATGTTGAATATACTAGAATTGAATAAGCGATATATGGAGATAAAATTTTTAAAGTAGAATTTTGTGATGATGGAAATGATATTCAATATGATGGATTCTTTAAATACCATTATAGTTGTGATCTCTATTGTTTATAATGTGTATTTGGCTTCTGTTATTTATGTAAAGAAGGATTTATAATAAATGAAGATTCATAAACTTGATAACCTTATTGTGAAGAGGGTAAAGTAATCCCTCTTACTTAAGGAGAATGTGATGATAGGAATTAAGATCCAAAAGATGGATTTGATTAATGCAAATTTGCATGTCTACCTCATTGCTTAACTTGTCATAGTATATTTTGAAAATAATAATCAATTTACTATAACATACTGTTTTCAATGTGAAATAGGGTTTGAAAATCAAGAGGAAATATGTGTTTCAATTTGTGGAGATGGTATTTTAATATAAGAATGAGATGATGTGAATTTAATTTATTATGGTGGTTGTTTTGATTGTAAATATCAATGCAGTCAAGATTGTTTAGTTTGTTAAAAAGGAATATCTCTAAAAAACTGTTCAAAAATATGATTGTTTTCGAGAATTAATGTAAGTCAATATGCGCATAAATGATGGTTGATTATGAAATAGAATGTGATGATAATAATAATATAGAATATCATGGATGTTTTAATTGTAAATTTAATGTGCACTTTGTTGTTAAGTATCTTATTGTGAAAAAGGTATTGGTCATAAATTCATTTCAGAATCTATCTAATAAAACTAATAATCTTTAATTCATGATTTTGAAGGTACTCTAAAAAATATGTTAAATAAATAAAAAAATAGTTGGATTTGTAATGAATCAGAATGTAAATATTCGGAAAGTCCTTAGTTAATAATCAATAATCTAGAATTAAAAAATTTTTAATTTTAAGTTTTTAATTAAGTTATGTCCTTTCATTTACAATATTTAGTTGAAATTGAATTTTCTGAATAAATTTTATTTCGCAAATTCTAATTGTCAAACCTGAGCCTTTTATACTTATACTACAAATCTAAATATGCTATATCCCGAAATTTTTTATACGTTGTATTAAGTAATCATTTTAGCACACAAATTATAAAATTTATAAATTAGTAAAGTATAATTTTATCATCTATTATCTATCATAATTAGGTTGCATTTGTTAGTATTAAGAATTTTTTAATTAAAAAAATCATAATAACTAATAAATCCAACCAAATCTAATAGAAATTATTTTAAAATAATAATAATATTTAATAATTAATTCATTTTTTTTAGTTAAGTTGAAGTCAAAACAAACATTATAGTTTACTTAGATATTTATATTAATCTAAATTTACAGATCAATTTCGCTAATTAGAACTTTTATAATTAAATAAATTTAATTATTAAATTGATTACTGTTATCTTAATATATTTCATTTTCTATTTTCTAATGGAGCTTATTCTTCTACTAAAATAAGTTACATTGAAAATACTCAAAAAATATCCCAAACTATAACATCTATAAAAGCCAAAAGAAAAATAAATAAAGATTCAAAGTACAATTTTACCATTAATATTCAAATATAAGAATTAGCATTATGATTTTCTAGGTTTCTCTAAATTTTACCAATAAATATATATTTTAAACAGGTAACATTAGCCTAGAAGTTGGTGTAAAATACATATGATAATCTTATTAAGTTAATGTCTTGTAATATCTAAATATTCTAATCCAAATATAATCAATTAATATGTCAAAAAATAAATATATAATATTTTATAGAATGAAATAAAATATAAATAGAATATAACTAAAGATATATAAAATATATTTCTATCTTTATTTCAATTAATTCAGGATATTTCTTCAAACTTGGTCTTATTCCTAATTCAATTATTATACTTTGCATTCTTCATTTTAAAATATCAAGTTAACTGTATAATAAACACATCTTTACTAAATACCTAAAATATATTAACTAATTAATACATTTCCCTATACACTTTTAGAATTAAGATATTATCTAAATCATTTCCAACATTATAAATGTTACTTTCAGGTAATATTAAATTAAAATCATTTTAACTTAAATAAAGACATTTATAAAGCTTCGATAGATAATATTGAATTAAATTTAAAATTTGTCCATAATCTAATATATCTTTAAATCTATATTTTCAAAACGACAAAAAAATTTATACCTTCAAATAAAGTGAAATTCTGATTAAATCTGATTATAATGTCAATAAATTAGATATTCATCTTTTTAAATTTATTCTAGAAATGATAATTTTAAGAATGCTTATTATCTAATAAGTATTTAATAATAAAAAGAGCTATGCTATCCTAAATTGATAGTTCTCTAAATACCTAAAAAAATTTAAATATTGTTTTAGTTAAATCTATTTATTTCGAATATTTCTTAAATAATTTACATCAGAAATATATCTTACTACTTTGTTCATTATTTCCTGACTTTTTTTTTAATTTTAGATGCCAATAAATCATTCTTTTCTTGTCATTTTAATGAAAATTCTTATAATGAAATTGATTATCTAGAATAATAGGCAATAGTCAAAATATATATAAATTATAAAATGAAATTTAATTTATACTTTTAAAAGATTAATTAGTTTTCATTCTTATTCATTAATTCTTCTTCCTTCTTAATCGTATAATTTTGTTCCAATATTTCATAATTTTATTCTCTTAAAATAAAATAGGAAATAATATCAAATCAAACCATTCAAATTAATAAAGTCATTGAAGAAAAGTAAGTTGCTAAAGTAAATCAAAAACCATTAGCAATTATTAATAATGGTTTGAAATAATAATAATTATTTATTACTTCACTTAATCATTCTTATTTTATAAGTAACTCTAATAGTACTTGAAATTATTGATCTTATTCTTGCTCTGCAGAAATTTGTTCAAAAAACCAGATAACTCGAATATTGTATTTTTCCAAATACTCATTCATGAATATTTTTTAAACTAATTAATGGCTAATCTATTAAATTTGATTTCCAAATTATTATTCAAGTATAAAATGAATTCTCAAAATTTTATAAAGAATATTTTTTAATCTATATTTTTCTTTTGCTTTTTTTAATAGAGTAACAAAAATTAATTCAAAAGTTTAATGGGAAGCTGAAATTAATTAAGATCTTCTTCAATTTTAAATTTATTGAATATATTGATTTCAAATTTTTAATTTCTTGATAATACATCAAAAAAATGTCATAAAACTAGTAATTTATTATTATAATATTACCACATACTTTAATATAAATATTAATTAAACTTAAGAACAAATTTAAGCTTAGACCTACAAATATTTTGGCATGGTCTTATTATCTTAATTGACAAATTTCCATTTTAAAAAAATATGAACTAGAAATGTTAAAATGTTAATTTTCATCAGAAATAAAAGCAATCTTATTTGGCATTCACTCTGAGGCTACTTCTTGTTTGATTATTTTTCAAAATGAACAATTGATGGTAGATTTCAAAATAGATACAAATTAGAATATATGTTTTATAAATATAAAATTATTAAGATATAATCTAACCTTTTCCATATAAATTAAATAAATTTTCATTTAGTTTATTAGTTTTTAAATAAAGATAGAATTAATTTTATAAATAATTACATCTCTGATACCTTAATCTGATAAGTCAATTTTATACACTGTATAAATCAATACTTGCTTTATTAATAGCGATCTTAGCAAATTCAAATCCTGATATAGAAATGGAATTTTAGCTTCCTTTAGAAAAATCATAGTATATTTATGCTAAATTATAATGGCAAAAGACAGTTTTTCTATGTTAAAATGTATTTAATTACTTTTTTCATATTAGTTGTAAATGGAAATGTTAAAAATTTTTTAATAATTTAATAAGTAAAAAAAATGGATAAATAGACTTGGTTAAGTGATGCTTTATTGATATCTGCAATACATGAGCTTTGGATTTTATAAGCTCTTAAAAATATAAAAAAAACTCTATAAGCTATTATCGAGATTACAGAAAGAACAATCACATTTTAACTATTTATTAGTCACAAAATAATTATCGTAACTGATTTTTCAGGTACTACTCGTGATGCCATCACTATTTATGTGAAAATACAAGAAAAGAATAAATTAATCTTAATAAATAGAGCTTGAAAATATATTTTTTGAGCTCCATTTTTTATAATTTTCAATGTCTGCTTTCAAGATACAAGTTAATCAAAAGAAGGTATGATTTTTATTCAAAACCAAATTCTTTAAAATACATGAAGCTCTTTATATTTGAAACCTTTTAAAGATGATTCATTCGGTATTCAATTTTTGTTGGTTTTTGATGGGGGTTTAATTAATATCAAATTCAAAACGTTAATCTGTTTGGATTATGTATTCATTAAAGACTAAATCTATTTTTTTTTGGAAAAAATTATAGATATTTTTTAAGATCTTGAAAGCAAGTTATAAAAAAACTTCTTTCTAGATCATTTTTTTAGTCAAAAAAAAGTTTTAATTTGATAAATGAAAAAAAAAACGAAATATGACTTTAAATCAACTAACATTTTATCTACTCGAAATTAATTAATCATTAACCAATCATCAGCTTATTATCCATAAATTAAAAATATATCAGTAATTATTACTACAAGGATACTTTTTGTGCAAACTTTTCTTGAGAATATATATCAAAATTTAAAATTTAAATAATATCTGATTGATCATGATATAATTATATTTGATCTATTATAGAGAAAGAATATTTGGAATAAATTCTTGTCTTTATCTCAATTTTTTTTAATTACATTAATAAAAATGAAATTATGATCTATAAATTTATTAAAATTACTAGTATAAATAAAATATATTTAATTTTTTAATATATCATTGAAACATATGGCGATCCTTAAATCATCAATTTCATAAAA